GAGAAAAAGGAAATTTTAGAAAAAAAAAATGAAATGTTAAGCAATAATAATAATATAGATCTTTATGATAAAATTTATATTGAAAAGATTGGAAAATCAATTAAAAAGTATAATGATAGTTTAGGATATTTTTGGATAGAATTAGCTAAAAACTTAGGGTTTGAAATTGATGACAATTTACCATCTAATAAATTAAAGAGAGCATGCATATCATTTGCTGCTAATTATTTGAAGCATGAAAAGAATAAAAGCTCTTATGTGATTAAGGAAAAAGAAAAAAAGGTTGATAGGTTAATTACAATGCAATATACAAGGATAAATGGTAAACTTTATTTTAAAAAAGCTTTTTTTTTCAAACCAATTATTAATATTTATTTTATTTCTTAGGTGAGACACATTACTCCAATAATAAAAGAGAAACGTTGATAAGAGTTTTTGATGTTCTTGAATCTGATTTAAAAATTTTAAATCAAACAGAGTTTTCAGTTCATAAATATTATATGGATTTAAAAGTAAACGCAAAGCATCAATCAAATTATTTTAAAGAAAATAATGCAGAACTTTTTGGTATTTTTGGTAGTTATGCAACACTACCATATAATTCTGATTCTTATTTATGCAACCAACGAATCCAACATAAAAAGTAAGTTTAAACTCTTTATAAATTATATGCAATTAAATATTTTTAATCATTAATACTTATAAAATAATTCATAATAGATGTGTTGATGAGTTGATGAATGGGATCACACCTCTTGCCAACAATATTGCAGACAGATTACAAAGTCATTGGCCCAATTTGTATCAAAAGTTGGTATCAAATGTGTTTCCAGAACAGGTTGATATTTCTATATATATATAATTTTTTGTAATTAATGTTTTAATCAATATTAATATTAATATTACTACTTTTTATAGGTGAAAAAACTGTTCAATATATTTACTATGTTAGCTGTCAATTTCAATATGTTAACAGACCTTCATTATGATGCTAATGATCTCGATAACAGTTTGTGTGTAATTGTACCCCTTGGTGAATTTGAAGGAGGTGAATTAGTGTTTCCAAAAATAAATCTGATAGTGGAATTGAAATGAGGGAATATTATATATTTTCAAAGTAAAAAATTGCTACATGGTAATATTAGTGCAAGTGGCATAAGATACTCTTTAGTTTTTTTTAATCATAAAAATTGCTTTCCTAA